GTTAAGCAAACTGGCCAACAACCAGTGTTTTTGTATTGGTTACTTTTCTCATTGTTGTGACCAAAATACCTGAGAGAACAACTTAAAAGAGGAAATACTTTGGCTCAAGGTTTCAAGGGCTCAGTTCTGGTCACTTGGCTCCATATGCTTAGGCAGAGCATCACAGTGGTGGGAGCATGTGGCAGAGGACAGCTCTTCACCTCACAGCAGACAGGAAGTCAAGAGAGAAATAGGAAGGGACTAGTGACAAGATACCCTCAAGGACCCATTCCTCAGTAACCCACTTCCTCCAATTAGGCCCCAACTCCCCCCAAAGAGTGCCACTAACTGGGAACTTTAATACATGAACCTGTTGGGAACATTTCATATTCAGATCACAACAATTTTTTAAATCAGCCTTCAGTTCTAATGCCAAACATTCTTAGACAGGTATCACTGGGATTAATGAGGAAGAGGGGAGAGACTATTGGTATAATACACCTGTTTTAAATTTTTTCCCAAATCACAATAAGTAATTTAAAAACAATTTTAATATTGGATAAAAGCTGACTTTGAGGGGTTCCCCCTTTATTTTTTTCATTTATCTTCACAAGAAATGTGAAACCTTTTAAAGACTTCTTTGCTATTACACAATGGAGGCAGTATATTGTAGTAAAGAGATCTTGGGCTTTAAAGTCAGATATAACCTGAAGTTTAATTGAATCACAGCCCTACAACTAACCAGCTGCCTGGACTTTAGTCAAGCTTCAGAACCTTACTTTCCTTGTCTATAAAAACTTGGATATTAAAATACCTATTTCACAAGGTTGTTAATGATTACACATGATGACACATGTAAAAATCTTAGGGTTGAACCTAATATATGGTAAGGGACAGTAAATGCTTTTTAAACCTTTCTTTTCTCAAATTTACTGGAATAGAGGCTTTTAGTAAGTTAAACTGAGAAGTGTCTTGAATGAAAAAACAATGAAAGCCTGTTTATATTTTCTAAATTCAGAAAACATTCTTTAAGCACTACTAGCTACTATGGGAATTGTTTTAAAAATACTAAGGCTCTCAACTACTCATAATCCAATAGGAGAGAAAAACAAATGAGTAACACAGTTGCAGAACATGATATAGGTTGGAAAAATGTGCTACTAGAATTTATAGCATAGAAGGGAATTTTGATATGGTGCCAAGACATTGGAAGTCTCCAATGTAATTTTTATGACTATGTAGATATGTTCTTCAGGTTCTGATTTTAAGGAATAAAGTATAAATTACCATTTGAATTGGTGCATATTGTCTTTAAATATTGCAAATCTTTAGATATCCCTTATAATCAAGTCTCTTGTTTTTTAGTGTCTTTTAGTATCTTGGATTTTGCCTTTATGTTTTGTGTATTTTCCCTTACCACCACCATTTTTAACATTGGTCTTAATGTAAATTCTGCGGTTTTCTTGGGAATAGACTTAGTGATTAATACAAAGTTTGCCATTGAGCCTATACTTCAAATTAATTTTTAGTCTATTTTCATTTATATGATCCATTTTTAGCAGACATACATTATTTTTTCCACAGTCTGTTTCATTTTTAGCATTACTTATATTCTCAAAGGAAGAAGATAATTACAACAAAATTATAGTTTTTCACATTCAAATTAATTTGCATTACAATCTTAGCTATAACTAAGGATGTTGCATATTTGTCATTCATTCCTAATAAATTGCTAAGCATTAGCACTAGAGATTTAGGCATTTGTATTGTATTGAACATTTTAGAATGAGAAACCAGACTATATGGACTTAGTCAAGTAAACACCGTAGAGAAGCATCACTTCCTTATGAGTGCATTTCCCCCAATTGGTTTATAGAGCTTATTTCTTAAACCTAAATTGGAAGTGCTTTAAAGACTAATTGCAAAATTACTGTTAAAGACATATTACCAAGTACACTACTGTTTTCCCTTCCTCCCCATTTTCCCTTGTTGACTTTGTTTTTTCTTGCATGTATTTTTCTCCTCACATGTCTGAGTAGCTCATAACGTATGTGACATGAAAGTAGTAAACTCTGAAAATCTTTGCCAGGACCAAGAGGACCCTGTGGGGTGGGTCCTGGTTGTTCACTGAAAGGACTGCCATGGTTTGATTGCCCATAGACTTGAGAAACTGGCAAATCAGCAAAAGGTAGCTGAGTCATGAACGTTTATACTATAATGAACTCTTGGGGTATGAACATCAGAGTTCCAATAACAGCTCTATCATTTAGAGGTTGCATGCGCTTTTGAACAAGTTATTGTAATTTCCTAAACTTCCATTTGTTCATCTTCAAGTAGAGGCATTACCTCTTTTGGAGGGTTGTCATGAGGATTAAATGAAATAATGGATATCAAAAATAATTTTTATGGCTGGAGGCATAGCTCAAATGGTAGTGTTTGCCTAGCACTGCCCCCCCCTCCACTGCAAAACAAAAGATTTTTTAAAGCAAGGCATGATGGCACACATCTTTAATCCCAGCATTTGGGAGGCTGACACAGGATGATGGTGAGTTCATGGCCAGCCTGGGCTACATAGCAAGACCCTGTCTCAAATTTTAAAAGATCTTTAAAACTGTATAACACTGTATAACAACTGTATAAATATAAGGGCATCATAGTAGTAGCTTCCTGTGCCAAGCCACAGGCTGCCTTGATGTAACACTGGGCTTCACTGGAGTTGACACTAACCAACTCTGATATTTTGTTCAAAACATTTTCTCCTCTTTGGACATCAGTTTTCTTATCTGTCAGATTAGGTGTTGGGCTAGGTGTCCTCTGTTTACCATCACTCTGTATTTACAATGCAAGTAACAAAATAGAAGGGAAGATATTTACGTTAATAAGAAGAGACTGATCATAGAATCACCCTTTTAACTCATAAGTCCCAAAACAAGAACAAAAGAACTTTCATTAGCATCTCTTTCCTTCTTATACTCTAGGTACTCATTAACTATTTTTATTAAGCTATATTTGCTGTTCAGGTAATAATCTGAGAGATTTTTGCATTTCCTGAGATAGCAAATAGTTTGGCTAGTAATTTTACTTATCTTTAAGCCAAATACTTTTCACAAAATGATATATAGGAGACAACTTTGGGCATTAAGAAGATTTCTTATATATCTATAGTATGGATTACTCCCATCCAAAAACATTTACTTACACACACACACACACACACACACACATACACACACACACATAATATACACACGTTATGATTACCCATTAATGAATATTAATTTTTTATTTAGTGAACATTTTAATGAGAGTTTGCTGTATGCCAGGAACTATATGAGATATTTTGCTTGCATTATGTCAGCTGGGGACCCTGCTAGGAAGTGGGATACATAAAGAGAAATGAGGAAGCTATTGACATTCTGACAATTACTTCTGGTTCTGAGCACCTACTTTTTACTGATTTTCGGGTAAGTCCATCATTTTCCAGTTCAAAATAAGGTTTCTTATCATTTTGCCACGCTATACATGCTATCTTTCCAGCATCCATCCAGGTGTGAAACCTAGCCTCTACTTCAATTTACACATATATTATATTCACTTGATGCATTGTTAAATGTAATAGCCTTTTGTGAAAGGAAAAGTTGATTTTATTTTACAGTATTACACCAAGTTAACATCAAGCATCTCATACCACCTGGGATTTTTTTCCTCTAGCTAGTGCATGCCACATAAGAAGAAGGACAGTCTCTCAATAATTCTTCCTGTAATCTTTCTTTCCCTATAGGTTCCTCCCATACCTCAACTTCACTTCTAATTCAATTATACATGTCTTAATCCCTGTTCCCTGAATGAGCCTTGGCCTTCACTCTGAATATCCAGACTCATCAAAATATATGCTAGGTGAAACAAAAAAAAATTCAACTACTCTCAGAACCCATCCTCCTTATTAGTCAATGGTAGTGATAAAAAGTAATTTTTCCTGATATCAATTATTGTAAAGATTGATATTTTCCTCACTTTATAGATGAGTTAATAAGCTCAAAGAATTAAATGATTTGCATATGATAGACACCTGCGCACCCTGTTTATAGCAAGACTATTCACAATAGCCAAACTATGGAATATATCTGTGTGCCCACAATCAATGAATGAATAAAGAATATTGGAGATAGGAAAATATTAATCCATAAAGAAGAATGAAATTATGTCATTTGCAGGAAAATGGATGGAACTGGAGGTCATCATGTCAAGCAAAATTGCCAGACTCAGATAGACAAATATCACATTTTCTCTCATGTGTGGAATGTAGATCTTAAAAAAATGACATGAATATAAAAGTAGGACCATTTGTGGAGAGGAAATGGAAAGGAGAGGTTAATGGGAGGGGGTGAATATGATTGAAGTACATTTTAGTTATGTGTGAAAATAGCATATTTAAACCTACTAAAACTATAAAAAGGGGAGAGAGGGACAGGGGATAAGAAAAAGCCATAGAGGGATGAATTTGATCAAAGTAGAATATGTGCATGTATGGAAAAATACTAACTTGTCTAGAGTGATTCCTTTAGTAGGTGACAAAATTAGATTTTGAGTCTAGCTTCATTTGAATCCAAATCCTGTGCACTTTCCACCAAACAGGATACATTTTTTTAAAAAACTGCAAAAGAGCTTAAAAATAGGAAAATTGCTTTGAAATTCATAGCATTTGAGTACATTTGGAATAGAAACATATAGCTTTACCATTATGGTCCCAAAAATGCTATTTAAGAAAGCAGGGAAACACAGTAAGTAAAAGTTTCTGTAATTTGAAAAATGCTGCCTGTTAATCAAGTAAATGGGATATTTACTATGGTTTATTAAATTTTATCTTTTAAAATTCATTTATACATTGACTTTTACCTGATAAATATTTATCATTAATAATTAATAATTATAATAATCATAATATTAAAGATACTCTACCTTTTTCTCTATGTTTCTTTTAAAAATGCATTTTCTAATACCTGCTTTTTTTTCTCTTACAGAGACAACTAAAGGCAGATGCTAAAAAAGCTATTGGAAGACTTCAGCTACGCACACTGAAACAAGGAGACAAGGTGCTTTTATTACTTTTAAATGCTAGTTGTTTTAAGGCAATACTACCAAGCCATTGTTCAAACTAAATATCCTTCTGATATGCTTCTCATTTTCTCTGGCAGTTATAAACCTTTTTGGCTTTTTAACAATCTATTTGATGCTGGAAGTAGGCTTAATAATGGCCCCCAAAGATATCTAGGTTGTAATCCCTTGCCTGAAAGAAAGGACTTTGCAAATATGGAAAGTTAAAGAAATTTAGATAGGGTGATTACCCTTGATTATCCAGATAGGTCCTAAATGTAATCACAATGTCTTTATAAGATGGAGGAAGAGGGAGACTTGACTATGGTACAGTAGGAGATGTCACAAGGGAAGCAAGAAGTTGAAGCAATTAAAGAAGAGGTCTTGAACTAAGAAAAGAGAGCCTAATGGAACAATGAATATCTATATGAAAAAAAAAACCAAGATCCATTCTCCATACCATATGTAAAAATTAACTCCAAATGAATGAGAGGCTTAAATATAAAACCTAGAAATATGAAACTTTTAGAAGACGACTTTGAAGAAAAATAACTTCATGCTGTGGAATACACAAATATTTTTAAAATATAACACCAAAAATAAGTCCATAACAGAAAAAAATGAAAAAAATTTGACTGTCAAAATTAAGGATTTCTGTTTTTTTAAAAAAAAATGTTAAGAGAAGAAAAAGACAAACTACGTACTGTGAGGAAATATTTGCAAATCACATTATTTCTTAAAGGTCCATACCCAGAAAATATAAAGAGCTCTCAACTGAATAGTATGAAAACAATAAAAAATACACACATAACAAACACTTCAAAGAAAATATATGGATGATAAGCACATAAAAATATGCTCAGCATCATTGGTCATTAGGCAAATGCAAAATTAAAACCATAATGAGATGCCACTAGGCATTGGTTAGAATGACTAAAATTAATACACCTGGAAACACTAAGACTTGGCCAATATGTGGAGCAATTGGAACTCACACGACATGGCATAGCCTCTTTGACAAATAGTTTGGCAATTCCTTATGAAATTAAAAGTACACTTACCATACTAGATATTTACAATAAAGGGTAGCAAACCCCTATCTTCTCATAAAACAGTTGTTCATGCAGCTTTATTAGTAATTCCCCAAAACTTGAAAGAACATGAATTCTCTTCACCTAGTGAACAGATAAACTGTGGTACATCCCTATGATGGAATACTACTTAGTAATAAAATGGTGAGGGAACCCTACTGACAGATACAACAATATGGGTAAACCCCAAATACATTATGTTAAGTGAAAGAAGTGACACTCAAAGGTTAGACAGTGCATTTATATGGCATTCTGGAAAAGCCAAAACTATAGGAACACAAAACACAAAGGAATGTCCTGGCAGTGAGAGTGAGAGGAAGTGTTAACTACCAAAAGGGTGTGGAAGACAGTTGAGGAAATGGCACTATTGTATACCTTAATTATGGTGGGGGTTAAGTTGCTATCTAGGTTTTTAAAACATGCATAATTGTACATTAAGAGTGAATTTTATTGTATGTGAATTATGCCTTGATTTTTTAAAATGGGAAAACTTAGCTATAGAACTTGTACCAATGACATTTCATGAATTCTAAAATCAGGAAAAGGAATTTAAGTCAGTGCTAAATGATTCTCTTTTATATTTTCCCCTTTTTGTTGACTGGATTCATTTATCTTTTAAAATTCTAAATAAAGTTACATCACCTACTAAAATTTTACAGCTACACAGTCACTTAGAAACAAGATGCTCCTCCTTCTACAGGAATTTATGCTTTCTCCAAAGTTTATTTCTTCTTCTCTAGCAGAGAGTAATATTAACTATTTGCTCATAGGAAATTGGCCCTGATGGAGATAGTTGTGCTGTGTGTATTGAACTATATAAACCAAATGATTTGGTGCGCATCTTAACCTGCAAGTAAGTTGGATTTTCTTTTATATCATCAATAAAGATAGATGGCTCACAAAAACTATGATGATGGGGGAAACTATTTTGAATGTTTCCAAATTGATGTTGATAAAATGTCTATATTGAACTTATTTTCATTTAAATATAGAATACTGTTTTATTCACACAAAAATTGTTAAAAGCTTAATTGTATAGATTCCATAACCAGTACAACTTGTACTATGCTAACTCTGTAGAAAACTGAGAACCTTGCCAGCAGAACTACATATATAAAGGTAACAGGATTGATTTAAACTAATTCTAACAATCCCAATGAGAAAAAAATACAATATACTTAATGAGTACCTATTTGGAAGTCTTCATCCTAGTTTTTTAGTTCGCTTCTCCTGAAGGTTATCCTTAACACTTTTTTGGTGGTATTGGACCTTGCACTTGCTAGGTAAGCACTCTACTATTTGAGCCATGCCCCCAATCCTTTTTACTTTAGCTTATTTTTTAGGTAGGGTCCTACGCTTTTCACTTGGGGCCAGCTTCAGACCATGATCTTCCTACCTCTACCTCCCAAGTATCTGGGATTACAGAAATGTACCACCATGCCCAGTTTGTTTTTTGAAACAGGGTCTCACTACCTTTTTTGCCTGGGCTGGCCTTGAACCACGATCCTCCCATCTCCACCTCCTGTGTAGCTGGAATTATACATGTACATTACCATGCCCAACTATTCTTAATAATCTTAACAGTATGTCTTTTAGATTTTAAGTAGTGGTGTTCTTGGAACATATCACATTGCCTAAAGCATCAGTATTGTGTTGTACTCAGTACTACATTATAGCGTGTTATTGAGAAAGATTATACATTTTGGAGTTAGGGAATTGACAATTTCAAATGTGTTACATTTGAAATACTGAACAGCCTTAAGTCAGGTGGTATCTTAACTATTTTCAAGTAGCAAGTACTGAAAATATTTGTGTTTAGGTAAGTGGCCAAGTAAGCACCAACATCTTCACCATGGTAGAACACTGAGAATTTTTTTGATGGAACTGGTCTTTGAACTCAGTGTCTTGTGCTTGCAGGGCAGATGCTCTATCACTTAAGCCACTCTACTAGCCCTGAAAATACAGCTACAGCAATGAGGTTTCTATATTTAAAAGTACTTCATTATGAAATTTCCAAGATTTGTTTTTGTGACTTATTTGTATTATTGATACATTTAAAAGAAAAAGAGGCATCCATTCAAAGACTAAGTTATGTTATGGGGTAACATGCTACTATATAACAGGCAAGTGTTGTTGCTGTTTCACATCTGAGAACTAAATTATGTGTTTCCTCTTTCATTAGCCATATTTTCCATAAGACATGTGTTGACCCATGGCTGTTAGAACACAGGACTTGCCCCATGTGCAAATGTGACATTCTCAAAGCTTTGGGAATTGAGGTAAACATTGTCATATTATTTATATGAAGGAACTTAAGCAGTGTGTTATTTATATACCTGGACATTCAGGAAAATAAAATAACATCCTTATTTTTTCTAGCTATTTAATGTGCCAGACTTACAGTTTATACCTAAAACTAGACATATTATACCATAGACACAGTAAAGTACTGTCTTGGACCATCTCCATTTTCCTTCTTTCTCCCTCCGTCTCCTTAAAGGTACTTATTATTTGGTCAGAATTAAGTGGTGACCATATAAACTGCCAACTTGTCACCTCCCTTTTTGTTTTTACTGTTTTCCTAGTGACAATCTTGTAGTTAAATGGGAATATATACTTTGAGAAAGCATAATACATATTGAATTATAATTTTATATTGGGCATATGAAAACCAACTTATTTTAAGATAAAACAGATATCAAACTCAACTCTTCATGACTTGCACAGATACAGAGACAACAATGATTCTCAATCCTCCTATGGAACAGCATGACACATATTTCTGAGTGCCTACCTCATAGCAGGCATTATGTGACGAGTTGACAGTATCACCCAAATGAACATAGCAGATATGCAGCCCATTGATGGACCCAATCACTGCTCTAACTGCTCTCACTGGGGCCAGCAAGAGATTTTTGTGGGCATCAAAAGAGATTATAGAGTTTTTGAATTGTTGTTTTGTTTTGTTTTGAGACAGGGTCTTGTTATATGTCTCAGGCTGACTTCAAACATGAAATCCGTCTGCCTCAGCCTCCCAAGTGCTGGGATTACAGGCATGAACTACCACACCCTTCTGGGATAATAGGTTGAAAAGGTTAAGAAACATTGTTCTAATGAGTCACAGGTGAAGAAACTTTATAATGATATTAAAGAAAAGCATGTACTTTGAGAGTCTTGATTTGTTCAAATGCTTTCCAAAGGTGGATGTTGAAGATGGATCGGTGTCTTTACAAGTCCCTGCATCCAATGACACATCCAATAGTGCCTCTCCCCATGAAGAGGATAATCGCAGTGAGACTGCATCATCTGGATATGCTTCGGTTCAGGGAGCAGATGAACCGCCTCTGGAGGAACATGTGCAGTCAGCAAGTAAGCACCACACTGAACAGCAATGAGTGCCACACAAACGATCCACTGTGAAATATGCGTCCTTCCATGGACTCCTGCTTTTTAGCAGTTGTTCCATTCATCCATTAAAACATTTCAGCTATTTTCTACTTAAAATGATGCCATGAATGATGCACCACTGCCTTAATGTGTATTGTATCTGAAATAGATGAAATGCATCAGGAGTGGGGATTAGTCACAAAAGAATACCCATTTATATGTTTGGCTTACTAATTATTTACCAAGGCTAAGGAGAAACTTCAAACTTTTCTAAAAGCCATTGTTTACTGAAGAAATATCAGAAAGTAAAATAAAAGAGTCCTAAGATGATAAAATAGAATTTTATTTACAAAAGCTTGATTCATGTCCAACTTCTCAAGAACCCATCTTTTGCAGACAGGAAACTGGAATTAAGAATGTATATGCTGCCACCTGTTGATTACTTGTCATGAAATGAATAAATTGCTAGAAACTAAAATTGGATATATTACTTTCAGAACTCATGTGAATTTGGAGCAATTTTAGGGAATTTTGTTACTTTTTCCCTGTAAAAACAAAACCACTATTAAAATCCTTTTCCCTTTCTGTAACCTCAAACTTCCCCATGTTTTTTTGGTTTGAAAATTTTTTTCTTAATCCTCATTTGTGAAAGTTTCAGCTTCCTCTGACATAACTTTTGCCCTCCCTAGGACTATCAGGGCCACAGATACCATTTCTGAAGATGTCATGGGGAACAGAACCATATAAAAGAAGCTTTGTATTTCTTGTAATCTAATCACTAGACATTTCTTTGAATATAAGGTAGTCACAAGAACCTTAATTATCTGTGGATTATTCTACCTATACTAGTGATCATTGTTTTTGCTGCACATGATCTTGTGTTCCCATAATTATGTGGTAATAAAAGTCAGTGAAGATAGAGAATAATGAATAAATGACCACTTAGAAGAGATTCAATTTTGTCTATGATTTTATATTACTAGTTTGGGGATCTTGCATATTAGCCAGTGATTCTTACAGTGATACTTGATTTGCATAACTTGTAGACACAACAATTAGTTCATGTCTATGTGTCACATCACTGGGATAAGCTCTATCAGAATACTGATCTTCAAATTTAAGCACTCATCAACTCACCTGGAAGGTTCAATAAACAGGAACCAACATCAGAGTTGCTGATTTAGCGGATCTGGAGTGGGGCACAAAAATGTGTGTTTCTAGGAAGTTTCAAGGTGACACTGATAGTGCTGGTCCAGGGACCACATTTTGAGAACTATTAAACAAGGCCCCTAGTTATCAACCCTGACTGTGTGTCAGAATCACTTGGAGAAATTTTCAACATTACTGATGCCAGGCTCTACCTCAAAGCAATTAAGTCAGAATCCATGAGGAATGGAACCCCCAAACAGGTATTTTTTAACTTTAGCTTTGAAATAATTTCAGATTGACTGATAGAATGTTCCAAAAATAGTATTTCAAAGTACCCTTTGCCCAGTTTCTACAAATGTTAATATCTCATATAACCATATGCAATGATCATATTCAAGAAATTAAATAATAAAATATTAACTATGAACTTTATTCAAATTTCTCCAAAACAGATCCTTTTTATGTTACGAGATTCCACATTTCATTCAACTGTCATGTCTCCTTAATCTCCAATCTGAAATAGTTCCTCAGACTTTGTGATACTGACACTTTTGAAGACTACCTATCAGTTATTTTGTAGAATGTCCCTCTGTTTAGGCCTGTCTGCTATTTTCTGGTGGTTAAATTCATTGCCCATTTCTGGTAAGAATAGCAGAGAAAAGATGGTGCATCCTTCTCTAATTAGGTTTTTTTTTTCTGTCAGTACTGAGGTTTGAATTCAGGGCCTCATGCTTGCTAGTCAGGTGCTCTTACTGCTCCAGCCACTCCACCAGCCCTTGCATCCTTCTCAATAGCCGTATTATGAAGTATGCAATGTTCTTACCTTACTATGAAGGATTTTAACTTTGCTCTCTTGGTCAAGAGTAGACCTGCCAAATTTCTACATTTAAAGTTATTATTTTCCCTTTGTAATTATTAAATATCTTATGGAAAGACATTTGGAGACTAGGCATATGTCTTATTTCTCATGATCCTTTACCTGCCAATTTTAGCAAGCATTGATGCTTCATGTTAGAATTCTGAAGTGTTTGCCAAATAGTGATTTTTCTATTTCTTTCATTCTTTCCACATTTATTAATTAACCTTCTACTGTAAGGAAGAGCTATTCATTTTATAGTCATGTATTCAATTATTTATTTATAGTAGTATGAGATTATAGATATTTCTTCCATTTTATATCATTCTCATGATTTTTTCTATTGCTCAAATTGTCATTGAGATATTCTTCTTTACTTTCTGACACCACAAGATATTCTAGGACTGGGATTGGCAAAATTTTTTCTATAAAGGGTCAGATAGTGAATATTTTAGGCTTTAAAGGCCATAAGTCTCTGCCTCTGTTACATATTCTTTTATGTATTCTTGGGGGGAGGGATTGGTTTGTATTTCAACCTTTTAAAAACATGAAAACCACTCTTAGCTGTGGGTTTGGCTTGGTGGACTGTAGTTTGATGGCCCTTAAGTTAGAATTCAGGTTATACTTATAACCCTATCCTAAAATCAGCCACTTATTCAGGGAGCCTTTATTGGAGAATTTTATATCAAAACCAAGATCTGGGCACTAGGCATTTATTCCTACTGGGATGTCATTGCTATCAGCCTTTTCAAAGAACGAGGCTAAGAAAAATATGTACTTAGTCACACAAATATTTTCTCTCTGTCTCTCTGTCTCTCTCTCTCTCTCTCTCTCTCTCTCTCTCTCTCTCTCTCTCTCGCTGTCTCTCTGTCACACACACACACACACACACACACACACACATGAAAAACAGTGAGGTCATACCAGTGCATATGATTCCAATCCAAACACCACAGGATTTATTCTAGACTTCCCCTTTCGTTAACTTTTAACTCATTTTTCTGACAGTGAAGGGAGAAAGGCTTTGGTTATCCAAAGTATAAACATTTAATTGTTCGATTCAACAATGCAAATAAAATAGATTCAGTGCTACTAACTCATACCCCTGTTCAAAACAATTTCACTAACTAATATACAATTCTTTTTAGCCTTATAGGATAAAGTAAAATCTTTCTGTTTTACAAAGTTATTTGGGTTTAGTTCTTTTCTTAACCCACGCTCTTTAGGATGGTTATATATTTCATTTATGATATAATTAGGTTCATTTGTTACTGTTTATGTTCCATTTGGGGCACCCTCAACTTACTGGTTGATTTTTTTAAGTCTGTCAATCTATATTAGTTTATGTGTATAAAGAAGCACTGGTAATGTTGAAAGTGCCCTGGTGATAGCAATGTGCAGCCAGGTATAAGAATTGTTATATTTAGGAGTGGCGGAGTGGCTCAAGTTGTAGAGTGCCTGCCTAGCAAGCATGAGGTCCTGAGTTCAAACCCTAGTGCCACCAAAAAAAAAAGAACTGTCATATTTAGTGTAGAGAAGTAAAAGATGTAAATTTGCTTATAAGAGGGCTAAAATCTAAGTGGACATAAGCACACATCCATGAATCAAAAAAAAGTAATCATAAATCAGTATAATGCCATACATACTTTTTGTAGAACATACCAATAATCACATGATTATTAAAGAACAGACAGTGAGTGTAATAACAACAGAATAATAGAATTAAGTAAGAAACTTCTTGGAAATGAATGGTGAATGTTGTCTTAAATGAGAGAAAGGTGAAATCATCCTAAAATTACCGTTTCTTTTTAAAGATGAAAATCTACAGCTGGTAAACCATGAAGCAAGTTCTGTGGCAGTGGATGTCGTTCCTCATGTTGACAACCCAACCTTTGAAGAAGATGAAATTCCTGATCAAGACACTGCTGTTCGAGAAATTAAATCATAAAATCTGTGTCAATAGAAACCTTGGAACTATAGTAATAACGGGTCTGCCAATCAGGGCCTACTTTACTTAATGAACTGGGTAAACTTAATAAAATAAGAATGATACTGAAAGTGCTGAGATGACTAATATTAAACTATAGTTAAATGGCTTAAATAGTTAACCTATTAACTTTTTTCCACAAACTCATTACAATGTTTTTCATAGGCAAGTTTCCTCTCAATAGTGATGGCAACATTTTTAAACATTCAAAACTATCTTCAAGTAGTCATGGCTTTTCATTTATAACAACTTTCTTATAAAACATGTTGCTTTTAAAATGTGGAGTAGCTGGAATCGATTTATTTTATAGTAGTATTTTAATTAAAAATAATACTATTTTAGCTTGGGCTATATGTGTCAGGGTTTTTCTCCAGGTGCTTATATTGATCTGGAATTATAATGTAAAAAGCAATGCAAACTTAGATTAGTACTTCATGAAATGTCTACTTAAACTACATTAAGTTGATAGAACAAAATAAAGCAAAATATTCATTTTAACTTTCTCTTCTTTTTAAAATTAGGCTAAATGTACTCATATGAGTGTTGAGCATAGTTTATCAGAGACTGTGGACTGAATTGATTGATATTGGTATATTAGTGACACCGATTTAACACAAGATTATAGACAAAAAGTTTTCTCAGAAAAATACTGTACAACTATTTCTCAAACTTGTGAGATTTTCAAAAGCACAGGATATAAACTGCCATACCATTTGCAAATGGTAAAGACAAAGGAAATCACAAAAATTGGTAATTGATCTTTGTGTATGAATTAGTCTACAGAAAATGTTCTGTAAAATTTGTCTGTAGAAAATGTTTTCCAAAGTTGACTTTGAAAATTGAGTTTACATTTGGCCCAAGTGGGCTAAAATTACATTAAACTAAAATTCTGTCCATGTAGCTATAATTTTGTGAATGCATTTTCTTGGTGTTTGAAAAAGAATTGGGGTGGGGGGGAGAATTCCAGGTGCCTTAATATAAAGTTTGAAGCTTCATCCACCAAAGTTAAATAGAGCTATTTAAAAATGCACTTTATTTGTATTCTATGTGGCTTCTCTTTTAGTTTTGTTTCCAGTGCAAATTCTAGCAGAATTTAGAAAAAAGTAGAACAGACAAGTATTTTTGTTTGTTGACTGCAGAATGAAACCATTGCATTCTTGTACACTGATTTGAAATGCTGTAAATATGTCCCAATTTGTATTGATTCTCTTTAAATATAAAATGTAAATAAAATATTCCAATTAAAGTTTACATCTGGTGTTTAATTTAGCTAGGATATGCTAACTGTTCATATACATAATATTCTTGTGTTTGAGAGGTAAAAATAATTGGATGTAAATGGTCATTGATGTATTTGATCAATAAAAATCAAAAGTTTAGGGCAAGAGGTGTGGCTCAAGTGGTAGAGTACATGCCAAGTAAGTGCAAAGCCCTGAGTTCAAACCCTGTAATACCAAAGAGAATTAAAACTTTTAGTACGATATATATCTTCATATAACATTATGTAGAAAGGAAGTGCTGCCATTTGGTTCTAGGGAACTGATCATGAATTATTTTATGTCATTAAAGTAAATAATGAAGTTGATCAGTAATAAAATATAGGGTCATACTATCCATGGCATGAGTTTTCCTCCAGTTATCTGTTTGGCAGTAGGATTGTTAGGATGATGTTAATGAGTTAAGTGCATCTCTTTCTTTTGTCAAACATGAAGAATACACAGATGCCTAGAGCACCTCAGAACCATAATTATCAAACCAGCTGTACATGTCTTTTACCTTTTTATTTTTTGGTGGTACGGGTGTTTGATCTCAGGACCTTTGCTCTACCACTTGAGCCACTCTACCATCTGAAGATAGTGTCTTTATAACATTTGTTTTTGTTTATTTGTATTGTTTTGTTTCAGTTTGGGCTGGCCTCAAGCCAGATCCTCCTGTCTCCACCTCCTGAGTAGATGTATACAAGTCTTATGTGACAAAATCCCAGGAGGATGAGTATGATGACTATATTCTTAGAGAGTTAATTTTATTTCAAGTTTTGTGGGGGTTCTTTTGGGAAAGCATTTTAAACTTTTTAAATTAACAGCTATATTAAAGTATAATCTCTGTAACAATTTGCTCATTGTAAATGTACAGCTGGATGATATTTAGCAAACATTTAGAGTTGTACAACTATGATCATAATCCAGTTTTAGATCATTCCATTATCCCAAAACATTCCACCAAGTGCATTGGAAGTCAATTCCTGTTCCCATTCCCAGCCATGCCCCACACAATCACCAATCTGCTTTCTGTCTCTATAGATTTGCCTATGCTGGACATTTCATATAAATACAATTGTACAATTCATGGCCTTTCCTGACTGGCTTCCCCTTAGCATAATTCAAGTTTCATCTATATTGTAGCAATATCAGTAATGCATTCCTTGATGTTGCTCAGTAATATTCCATTGTATGGATATTCCACATTTGGTTGTCTATTCAATAATTCATGAACCCTGGGGATAGTCCAATTTTTGGCCATTATGAATAATACTGCTATACACATTCACACACAAGTCTTTCTGTAGATGCATGTTTTAGATTCTCTTGAGTATACATCAAGAAGAGGAATTCCATGCCACTTATAAATTTTATTACTTCCTGCTATTATCATTTAATATTCTTTAGCTTAAGCATCAGACTTTATATTATACACTCCTGTGACAGTCAAAACATAAGCTAATTTTAACAGTGACAGTAAATAATATTTATATGAGAGTCTCTAACTTAAGAAGGGTGTGTTTTTTGAGCATTTGTAAATTTAGTAGAACTCAGGTTGTATTACCTTAAAAATATACATTGTTCCCAGGTCACCAGGAAAAATATATTTACAGAGACAATTGGAGTACTAGAAACATTCCTTCTCCCCCTATCTATCTTTTAATTTTTGAAATCACTACCCAGTAGTTCTCAACTCATTTCCATGTAAACAAAATCTCATGAATTGAAACACTCAGACACAGGAAAAAAGTATAGATAGTTTGGTGATGATTAATGGCAATTTCCCTTTCTACCTATAATTCCAACTGACATCCTAGTTCTCAATGACAGCCTAGAAAATTTTAATGAACATGTCCTCATATAAACTTCTTAAAAAACATCAATACAGTCATCTCAAATTTATTAACAGGTTATTTTTAAAAGATGCCTATGTGGGTCTGAATGCAAATATGATTAATTACCCCCAGTTTGTTGTAGTTTAATTTTCAAATATTTCATTTGCTTCAAATCAGTACATCTAAATCTTTAGTGTGTCTACAAGTTAGCTGGGGACCTTGTTAAAATGTTCATTCTGATTCAGAAGCTCTAATATAGCATATGAGATTCTGAATTTCTAATAAGCTCCTGGGAGATTGATCAGACGTTGTTGGTCTGTAATCCATACTTTGAGTAGCAAAACTTTAAATGCTCTTTAGCAGAACTCCACAAGTTTGAAACTTCCTGCACCTAAACCTGCTGCAGACTGTATAAACTAAGTTAGTGAAATTATTTGAAATCAGAAGCCAGTAAATGCCTGAATGACAGCCTGAGCCTTTGTATAGCACAAGGTTTGGAATCACTACTTGGGGTTTCTGAATACCTTTTTTCATAGGTGTTTGAGGCCATAATTTGAAAGACTGGGTTAGCTGAAACACTCACCTCTGGATAAATGAGGTTTTACTCATCTCCACGTGGTATATTAACAGCTCCATAAATATATGATTTGGATACATGAAAAAACCGAGTGGAAGCAGGCAGATGTGTTGGGAAGTTATTAAAATAGTATAGCTAACTTAAACCATAATGGGAGGATAGAATGGGCTTTTGAGAGAGAGGGAGGTAGGAGGGGGGAGTGGAGGTGGGGAAACAGGCAATGAGAGAAAGAAGTGTAAGATTATGCCCAGGTTCTTAGCTTGAGCATCTTGGTAAACACTAATTCTCTGAGCTAGGAGAATAGTAGCAGAAACAACACCAGGCAGGTGGGATTTGGGAGAAATAAGTGTATCTGTGGACCTGGTTCAATACCAGCAATGATATTTAAAGAAGTCTGTAATCCCAGTCCTCCTTCCTTAAGCAATTTACAGTAACATACACAATTGAACATTGAATTGAATGATATACTCTAGTCTTTAAGGTACTTTCAGAGAAAGCTTTTATTTGCAAAATCTTATTTGCTATGATCAAGGCAAATTTTTACATAACAAAAGTAATTTAATTTGAAAAACTGTTTTCTTTACATAATCAGTGAATGATTATTTACTAACGCAGGAGCTCTCTAAATGATCTGTTCTGCACCAAAAGTGGGCCTAATGTCATAGCAGGCAGCATCTGGAAGGAGTTGCAGAGTAAAGAGGCCAAAGAATCATTCAGTTATAGGCAATACATGCCATAACTCTAATCTTTTAAAAGCATTGGGAAAGAATGTGGGTTAATGAGGAAGGAAATTAAAACGGGGATGGAACTGTAAAAAGAAAGGACAGGAGCTCTTTACATTTGCTGAGTTTACTGACCTTTCACCAGAAAGAAGAGAAGAAATGATCCTCAGTGCACATCCAAGTTGGGATGGCTTTTCCCAAGGTTACAATACCATCTGGGCTCTGGAAGATTGCCTCTTCCACACTCCACAGAGACCTTGCTTGGGACTACTTACTGCCTTTCAGTAGAAGAGTATCCCAGATTACTGATTTTCTAACCCACAAAGAAAATCGTTGCTTGTAGCACACTTCTGCCTCACTAGAGACGCTCCTCTGGGCAGAGTTCTTTGACTCCAGGGTTTGGCACCTGCTTGTGCACCGCCCTGTATTTTTTTAGCTTTATGGTCTGAAGACTTCATAGTCAAATAAATACCTTGCCAAGAACACTTTTTTTGTGCATTTCCACCAACCTCCTTCCTTTCTAGAAACTTGTTTCTACTTTTAGTGTAGTGCTTAACTCCTGGAACTAAATTTCCTAAAACCCTCAAATAATTCCTCACGGTGATACCATGCAAATTACTGATCTCATTCACCTTAGCGTTTAAGCAGCTATTTTTGTCAAGACACAAACAGGTGAAGGCTGCCCTGAAAGGGATTTTTTTTCTTAAAAGAGTTTAAGGAAGAACAAAAAAGTCACAATTTGTTTAGATCCCAAAAAGAAAAGTTTGGAGTAAAGATTTTCTGTGACTTATTACAGCAGCTAAATAAATGGGAGAAGGGGAGAGGTGCTTGGCTTGAAGAAAATGCGTGGCTTCTGGGATTTTGTTTTCCCCAGATGAGCAAAAAATGCTTATTCTAGGTAAGAATTTTGGATTTAAGCAAGGAAGCTTATGCTGACTGTATGACCTTGGATTAGTCACCTCACTCGTTAAGGTTTTTGTTTACTAAAATGCTAAGTGGCGAAAAAGATCTACTTTTCAAGAATTATTTAAGGATTACCTGAGATCGCCCAAACACATAGTTACGCTAATTAAATGTTAGTTGTTGCTACTGCTGCTTCCCGAAATGGGCTGCTATTCAAAAATTCTGGAAACTTTGTTTTCTACAGATTAGTGCTCGCACTATAAAAGAACGAGGAGCAGCAACATCTTAATACCTGGGGCTCACTTATTTGACACACACACACACACAAAAACGTTTTAAACTTTAGAAAGGCAAAACACACTGAACTGGTGGCGGGACCTGCTTTGAAAGCATCGCCCACCCACTTCTCCCGTCGGTGTATTGTGGGAAGTGTAGTCCCGCGCTGCGGTCGCGAGCTTGCGAAAAAGTGAGTAAGAAACTACAACTCCCAAGACGTGAAGAAGCGGGACTATTTCCCAGTCGGGCGGTAGCTCTGTGGGAGGGAATTGGCAATCTTGCTGCCTACGTGGGAGAGAAGGGAGGGTTGGGGGAAGTGTGGAAAACCTGAACCTGAGGCGCTGCCACCCGAGCAAGATTTGGTGGGAGAAGTAGAAGGGAGAAGACGGGTTGGGGGTGAGGTGAGGAGGGCAAATAGGTCACTGCTTCTGAGCCGCACAAAGTTCTTCGCGATGTGGCTGAAGCCTGAGGAAGTGCTCCTGAAAAATGCGCTGAAGCTGTGGCTGATGGAAAGGTCCAATGACTACTTTGTGCTGCAGCGACGTCGAGGCTACAGGGAAGAAGGCGGAGGGGGGCTCACAGGTAAGCTGGAGCCAGTTCTACCTGCCTTCGGGCTGTGTTCACTGTTGCTTAAAAGCTGGTGCCAGGAAGAGTTACTCGTCGCCGCCGGATCCCAAACCCTGGGCGGGCGGAGAGACTGGGGCTCTGGTCCTGCCACCACCACCTTTCCGTCACCACTTGAGAATACTGCACTGGATGAGCAGTTGCTTTTTGGGTGGGACAGGGCAAGGAAAGAGAGATTCTTTCGGAGCCAAAGGAAGAATAGTGTACCTACCTTGTTGCTGTTCATGGGGGAGGAGGCTGGTGGTGAGTGTTGGAGCTAGATTGCTCGCATTTTTAGGCTGGTGATAGCAGTCTTTTCGCAGTTGTGGACATAACTTTTTTTTCACAAAACCTGTACTAATAATCACCACCCTGGGAAGTGTTAAAAAGAGGGTGGGTGCGGGAGTGGCGCGGAGAAAGGCGTCCCGATCACATCCTGACAGATTGGCTTCAAATGAGAGAGCCAGTTGGGGCAGGGGAGGTCGAGGGGTTAGGCTCAGAATTGCTGAACTCTCTCAATGAACCATCTTTTACTTGGTCTCCAAGTTTTCGGTCCTTGAGATCTCCTCTCAGGCTACTACAGCGGCGTATTGCATTTCTCTCTTCAGTGTTTGGCGCTGCCCCTTTTTTTTCAAAGCTGTGATTCTGAGCCAACCCAATTAGATAAACGGAAATTCAACTCTTCCTGCCTAACCTACCCTGCCCCCCATTCTTAGATCTAAAAATTAACAACTGTTCCTTGGCCAAGTGTCTAAAGTCTCCAAAGGATGCTATTTTGAGATCATTCGTTTTGGGCAGGGGCGTTCAAACTTTTGGGCGTTGAGGAAACAAGAGCTCTTTTTCGTGACAATTTCTGGTTTAGTTTTGTGGCCTTGAAGTGGTGGACCAAGCTTAATTTAGGCAGCGTGACGCAGGGGAAGAGAGAACAGTCTGAAACCCTGCATTTTAGTCCCATCCTCATCTCTAACTTGTTGCATGACGTTTGTGAAATTGTTTCATTTACTCAACTGTAAGCCACTACTGTGTGCCACAAGGGGATGTTCAGATTCAAAGACAGTTAAGATTCTTCCGTTCCCTGCCTTTAAAGTACTGGATAAGAGGAGGAGGGCGGAATAGGAGAGGAGGAAGAACAACTAATAAACCAGGCAAATTGACTGAAGGGTTGGGTGAAGATTCATGGAGGAGGTGACACTGATTTTTCTCCTTGGGAAAAGGGTGCCTACTTCTCAGAGTTCAGAGAATAAGATAAAACATACTAGGCGCTAACATACATTTATGTTAAGCCAGTGATAAACATGCATGTTTCTTTTTTTCAAGACTCCCCCAACATACAGAGAATTCTGAGGCTCGCTAGTGTATTTTTTAAATCTTGCAAGACCTACTTATCTTTTCCAGCTTCTAAAAAGGCCCTCTTGAAAATGTGGCAACAAAATTTGTCTCTATCAACTTGGCATTTTGTCATCCTCTGATTTTTAAAAATTACAAGTGTTATATTGCAGAAATATTTCCATTTAATAGATGCAGCTATTTTCTAGATTAAAATTTGAGAATCAGTATTTACAATTACTCATGTAGCTTATCTTTTGAATCTATAGAGAATAGGGTAGAATTAAAATAGATCTCACAGCCCTGTGTTAATGCAGCGGAAGTAGCCTTCTAATAATATATTTTGATTCCCCATAATTTTACTTAACCAGAATTTTTACTGGTACTTCTGCCCAAATTCGGCAAAGAAGTGTATTTCACTTCATACAACTGTGTTCCTGAAAACTAATAAGTAAATCAAATTCTTGACAATCAAGTTATTCTCATATAGTATTACATGTTGTTTTTCTTACAAGTTTCTTTTAAACAATTACTTCTTATTTTCTGTTTGATTTTTTTTTCATTTGACAAGCTTTCTCAAAGCAGTTCATTTGTTCTAGCTTTTTCTCTCTATCCCACCCACCTCCTATCTCTAGAATAAGGAAATTTGTGTGAGGAAATAAAACAAGATTTCTACCACACATGTATGTATGTTATGACTAATGATAGCCCCATTGACTTAACTGATCAGTTTGTATCTCAGCATGATTGTTTTATGATATTGATGAGATTTGAAATTACCATGTGCTACCATGACAATACCATGTAAATGAAACAAAATGGATCAGAAAAGAGCAAAGAGGTATTTTTAAAGTTTGTTTGGGTTCTTTCTGGTTCTGAGCAAAAGGATGTGCCGATTTTCAAGGCTGCTCGATTACTGTATTGTTACTTAAAATTGTGAAGCCATAAGTACTTATTTGGATTAGCTCTCACTGGAGCATGACTGGGTGCCAGCTTAAGCTTGCCTTTTGTCCATTCTGTTTGCTAAAACCCAGTGTTATGTGCTACCCCTTTATAAGATTAGTTTATGCATTTTATTTAATGAAGAAAGATAGTGACCATCTAGCTATGTTAATGATTGTACTTTAAGTTTTAATTTCTTTGCCATGTGATAATTGGCAAAAACTATAAGCAATTTTAATGGCTTTAAGTATGGACTTGGTGAAGTTACTTGACTCAATTTTTTTCCCAGTAATGGTTTGAAATTCCTAGTTTGGAAATTAGAATTCTTAGGTCCCATTTCTAAATTTTTGAAGCACTTCTAGTGGTTAATCTGGTAGATTACTGACCATTTGCCTAACTTTATCTTACTTAATTGTCCTGGATCATAGCAGAGTGGACTTTTTTGTGGAAATTTCCCTTATCCCTTGCTTCTCCTGGTTGATAAGGGTAATGACTTTTCTGTGGCACCTAAATTTAGCACCTGGTTTTATATAATTAAAAATAATTTATGCATATTTGGCTTATTAGGTACAAATCAACAATTGCTCTGTTTGGCAGACGAGACCCACTACATGGGCTACATTCTATTAAATATTGTACTGTATGGGACTAAGGAAGATATCCCAATCAGGAAGCCTTAACTTAGGTAGTTTTGAGAGAGTTTTGCTCTTGAATTTTTCCGTATCTGAACATGTAAGCAGGTCCTTGGATATTGAATTAATAACCACCTCAGAAGGCCTTATCGTGTTTTTTTTTTTGTGGTGCAGAACAAAACTAGGAGATAAAACTTATTAAAATGAAAGATTTTAGATTTCTGTTTCTTTAGCTCTTCTTTCATCTTGGTACTTTGAAATTAAATGATCTGTACAAACTAGAACAGGATGACATTTGAAATAAGCCTTTCATTTCAAAATGTTTGATATAAGCTTTTCATTTTATGATGTTTATATAGACTTCACAAATCACAGTGTAAATGATTTGTCAAAAATATATACATAATGAAAAATAAGGTAGCCTTTCAAAAAAAAACCTCTTATGACCATTCTTTAAAAATACAAAGCTGTTCTCCCCCTTGTTCCCATCCCCAACACAATGAGTTCAACTCTGAAAAATGTTCAAATTAGGTATTAATTAGCAAAATATTAGCATTCTGTGCTCATAAAGGAATCATCTGATAAAATGTTTGTTGCCCAAATGGTGGGCACATTTCATATTAGGTAAGGAAAGACCTCTCCTCCACCCCTGCCATATACACTGTAAAGTAATAGATTGTCATTTTGATTTCTTAAAATGAAAATTCTATAGGCTAACCCCAAGGGAGGGCAGATCACATTGTGTGCTCCCCTCCCTTCCCGGAGCATCTTGATCCCTGTGAAATCAAGTAAAGAAATGGCCTTTAAATATCTCTTTGAATGAGAAAGGGCAGCCTTGTAGGAAGTTTTGAAAAATGAAGGATGGTCCATGTCATCACTTTTTAGTCTTTTTTTTTCTGTTAGAATGAAATCTACTTGATTAGTTTTCTATTTAGCATTATAAATCTCTACCACTCCAAAAACACCCTTTGCACAGAATCTGCATCATTATGAGTTTAATTTAACTCTGGAAGATCCAGGATTCATGGCCTCTAGGTGAACTAGGGCAGAGACTCCAGTCTCTGTATAATGAAGAAAAGACCCCAGGGGCAAACAGGGGAGGAGAAATGGTAAGAGACTGTACCAGCAGGTAACCTAAAAAGGCATGACATGACGCTTAAAGTCAATAATCTTTCAACTACTATCAAGAAAAAAATGACAGCATTGCTCATCCTTTTTCAAAAGCTTGTATAAGGCTTCCCTTTCTCATTTAAAGAGATCTTTAAAGGCAGTGTTTTGATTTCACAGTGATTAAGATGTTCCAAGCAGGAAGGGGAACACTGTGATTTGCCATCCTTGGATGCTCCAGTACGGGATTTTCTTTTTTAATAAACCAACATCCACAAGTATATAAATGTACCACCAAATCTACTGACTCCACTTACCCCATTAACCCTGCTTCTTTTATTTTCCTTGATATTTTTGTGGTCTTTTTTCAGCTGTAATTGTTTTTATAAAGGCTTAGTTTCCTCATCTGTAAAATGGGAATAACACTTGTTTTCCTTATTTCAGAGCACTATAATCTGGATCAAATGCATTTTGAAACTTGTAAGCAACTTTCAGAAATGACATTCATTTATATGTTAGTGAAGGAGTAAGATGTTAAGTGCCATTTTGGGGGCCTGAAGACCAAATGAAGCTCTGAAGGGGAGGGGTGTGATTTTTCCCTATAATTTCTTTTCCCACATTTTATGTAGAAATTGATTTGAAGCGGTAACACTGAATATGTCCAAGATAATGATAACGCTGCAAAAGCAAAGCACTGATAGTTAATCGTTAAAGAATATTGGTGGGATACTGATTGTGCATTTAATAGTTTATAGTCAGAATAATGCACAAGAATTAGGATAATTTATCATGACAGCATTTCCTTTTTATCTATGATTGCCCCAAATGTTGAAAAGTCCTCAAATAGTTCTAAAGTTATTATGCATCATTTGTTTTGTTGAATAGAATTGATGAATACATATAACTTTGTTTACCCTAGTAGTATTTTTCAAAACATGATATTTGAAGAATAAATATTCAGCTGACTAAAGC